CGGAGCCCCTTAACGTGCCCGGCTCCTGCTGCCCCGCATCGCCTGGGAACGACAGTGACAACCCCCACCTCCTGTAGTGCACCTGTACGGGGGTTGTGGCCCCAGGCAGGGACACCCGAGCCACCAAAGCCCCCAAGCTCCAGGCCTGAGCAGCTAGGGGAATGTACCAGAACGTTCCATGACCTGAGCTGGGCTGAAATGGAAAAGTACCTGACAGAAGTCAGTTACCTCAGCCCCTGTAAAGAGTGATCCTAAGCAAGGCCCTCTGAGCTCTCCTGGATCACAGTGGGCTGTGACTTTACTGTGATTTTACTGAGTCATTTGTTCCTCTTTAAGTTGATCACTCACTGAGTGCTGCTAAAATTCAACCTCTTGATAGAGTGCATACTATAAATAAATTCTGAATTACTGCTAAATCAAGATGTTCATCTGGGATATTGGTAGAACTTGCTGTTGTGTTCCATGTCAGGTCTTCTGACGGTCCAATCCTGAACCTATCTACCAAGTAAGTGTTCAAAGAGGTCTGAGACAATTATAGTATAAACAGGCCCAAATGGATCCCTAATGGTCATAAATCCAGGGGGCTGCTTTTGGGATTGAGGAGTTCAAACCTTGGGTCTCCATCGGGTGATGATGCTCCACGAATATGACTGTCTCCAAATCCACAAACTCTTCCACCAAGTACAACATTCCGCATAGACCCAAAGCACTTAAACTGACTGAGGAACCATTTTAGACTGGTTTTTGGTGCTGAGTACAAAACACGGTTCTCTGATATTAACTGAAGAGTTTCCAGCTCCCAGGCTGGAGGTACCAAAAGCAACCTGGGTACTGCAAGGACACCAGGGCTGTTCTCAAGCAGAACTTACTTTCTCCAACTGTAGGAGACACAGTAAAATAATGTCCTCTGACGTCTCACTCAGTCTGTGGACCTCTGTGGAAATGAGGGGGATAAAATATTCTGGTAGCAAAACTTTTAATTGCACGGCGATTGGTAGTTTTAAAGCTTTAAAACATGAGATATTAGCCTAGGAAAGCTGACTAGAAAGAGTTCTGAGTGGTCACCTGCCACGTCAGCCATCTGCTCGGGTTTGTAAAGAGGCAGAAATAAGAGCTGGGGCAGCTACGTGCACCAGCGCAGAGCAGGAGGTGCTGGAAAAGGTGCCACGCCTCCTCCACACAGAAAGGCCATGTCATTTGGTTAATTAGCATTAATTAGGCAGCCCCTTTCAAACAAAGGACTTTACAGAGTTGAGAAGCATACGCTGTCCATGGGGGCTGGAGCCTGGGCACAGGAGGACAGCCCCTCCTGGAGAGCAGCAGGTGAGCTGCCCAGGAGCTCCAGCACCAGCCCAAGCGCGAGGCCCCGCCACGGGCGCCGCCACGACCTGCAGATACCCACGGCAGCTCCTGTGCCGGGGACGTGGGACGGGCAGGTCCCTCCTGGCCTTGCTGTGGCCAGGCTCCCTCGTTGGCTCGGCTGCAGGGGACCAGCCTCCCGTGGAGCGTCCCCGGACAGCGCTCCTCACGCGGCCTTCTTGCCAGAAAAGTAAAACTCCATCCCCCTGTCCCTGTGCCGCACCGGCGCGTGGGCGGGTCCTCTCCTGCCCCTGCCACGGGGACTTCTGCCCTGCTGCCAAGGAAGGAGGAACAGTGAGATGGCTACTGGTGCTGCCGAGCAATCTGATCCCAAAGCAGCCTCAACATGCAGAAGAATGTGACCCCAAAGTTCACTAAAAAGGAGGGGAGGCCTGGCAGGCACAGCTCTGGGCTTGGGCTTGGGCAAGTAGGGCCTCTGCTAAGGTGTGGGCATCTATCTTCAAAGGTATTTTGATACTCAGTTTAGGGGGCTGAGGGGAGAGCTTCTTCTAGTCTGCATCTCAAATCCTGGGTTCAGTTTTGGGTCACTCACTCCCAGATGGACCTTGAGGGGCTGGAGTGTGGCCAGAGAAGGGCGATAAAGCTGGGGAAGGGTTTAGAGAACGAATCTTACGAAGAGCAGCTGAGGGACCCCGGCTTGTTTAGCCTGGAGAAAAGGAGGTTCGGGGGAGACCTTCTCTCCACAGCTCCCTGACAGGAGGTTGGAGCCAACTGGGTCCTGGTCTCTTCTCCCAAGGAACAATCAACATGACAAGAGGAAATGGCCTCAAGTTGCACCAGGGGAGGATTCAGCTGGACATTAGGAAAAATGTTTTCCCTGAGAGGGTTGTCAAGCCCTGCACCAGGCTGCTCAGGGCAGTGGTGGAGTCCCTGTCCCTGGAGGGCTTTAAAAGCCATGTAGTTGTGGTGCTGAGGGACATGGTTTAGTGGGGACCTGGCAGTGCTGGGTTAACGGTTGGACTTGATGTCTTCAAGATCTCTCCAACCCAAACAATTCTATTATTCTCCAGGCCTCAACAGCATCAGGTCAACAGTCCCTCCCAGTAGTATTATCATTTCAGAAGCACAGTGGCAGTGCAGGCCCACAGAGCCCCCGGTGAGGTGGAAAGTGGATCCAAATGTTTCATTCTTCACTGAACATGGTATGACAACTAAATCTGAGCCTCCACAAAGTGTCCTTACTCCAGACCAGGCAGGAGGATGCATGGGGGAAGACAGTGCACTGAAAACCCCTCCAGATATGCAACTGTTGGTTGCAACCATTTCCTTCTTCCGTTCCAGCTCCACCACCATGGACCCCACCCAGGCCTACAGAGCACTCTCCTTGCACACCAGTCTCCTCCCAGAACAGCAGCCCAGTCAGCAGAAGCCAGTCTCAGCATGTCACGGGATCCACATCTTAATCTGTCCCCATTCTAAAGTGCAGATACACCCAAAAAGCAAAGGGCAAGGGCCAGTCTCTGTATTTACTGGTCTTGCTGACTTCAGTTTGGATGCACTCGAGCATGGTAGGAATTCTACCTCATGAACAGAGTGGAGACAGCATCAGTCTTGGCTCCCTTCTGCCCATCTGCATCTGGGGGTGGTTAGGCCAGTGGAGGCCTTCAGAGATAGCCTGTCCCTCCACTCATATTTGGCACTAGGTACATCCAGAGGGACAAAACCTGATTAAGAAAAGCTACCTAGAGAAGGTAAACAAAACATGCATGGGTTCACTCTTCAGCCCTAGAGCCACCTGGCCTGGCAGTTTCCATCCATATGATGCAGGGTGGCAGTGTCAAGACTGTTTTGTGACAGTCCTTAGCATGTGCTACCTCAGACTGTGCTTGGCCAAGGTTCTGGGAGGTGCTGGACGGCCCTGGCTGGGGGACACCCCCACAGTGTGACTGATGGCGGCTGGAGCGCTCCCACCCCTCCGAACCTCCCCAGGACTCACGGGCCTCTGGCTGATGTGTCGGCTCCACTCCGGGGCTGTCACCACTGGCCGTGGGTAGGTCTCACCCAGAGCTACCCCCGCCTGGGAGAGAGCAGCACTGTCCAGTGCCCAGGGGGCGTGGACCTCTGCTCCCTGTATGCCCCCCAGTTCTGGGACCCACAGCCGGACGTAGTCCCCCTGCAAAGAGAACCAGCAGGATGGGATCCACTCCGTAACAACCTCCAAGTGCTTCCCAGCACAGGTCGTTCCTGTCTTGAAAGAAAGCAGCCCGATTTCCAGGTAGAGAAGCTGGTGTGCTACAGCATCAGTCTTGGCCCCTCCTGCTAAGCCCTCCACCCAGAATTAGTGCCTAAACACAGACCTGGACACTGGAGCAGGGAGACCTAGGTGCTTTGTTGGGAAAGTTCACCTGCACTGTTCAGGACATCAGGAGATGAAGTCACTCATAAGAAGTCCTTTTTTCTTTCCAGTGATGGAAGGAAACGAAGGTGACTAGCTCAGCTGCACACTCTTGTGCTTGGCAAAATGAAGGCCCCTTGCCCCTGTCTCCCATTAACTCTACTGCTGTGTCCCCTACTAGGACTAATTTCTAATTCCTTGCAAAATCCTGCCAGTGAAAGTTCTGAAAGCCAACATGCAGCTTGCCATGAAGCCAAGGAACAGGGTGGAAACAGGTAATCCAGTACGTGAACCCTAGCTGGGCAATGGAAGGGGCGATTCATCTGCTCCCACCCCTGACAGAGCACAGAGGAGTGACAGGTTTAATCTACTCCCCAGGACTTGCTAAGGTGCCATGCGAGCAGCTCCATCTCTTGTCACTTCTGAGTTCTCCAAGAAGCTGCTCTGTGCTCAAGGGAACGGCTGTGTGAGATACTGATGGGATGTGCCTGTTAGCCAGAGGAAATGGTGATGGGACACTGAACACACAGGACAGGGCAGAGCAGCAGCCTCCTTGGGGACACCAGCAGACTGTAAACATCAGATCTTCCTGTACAACCACGAGGAACCTGCCTGACTGTTGGGAAGGAGATGACAGAACTGGTTTTGCAGCAGCATCCACAGAGCAGACCGATCTCCTGGCACTACCACGAGTGCTTTGCTGCCCTCCTCGTTGTCAGCCAGCCCGCCAGGACTTACATTGCTGTCGTAGTCCAGGCCTTGTTTGATCACGTTGAACTTCCTGTCCTCCCGCGGGTCGTTGCCCACGCCGGCGCTGTACAGCCAGTTGCCGTAATTGCTGCAGACGTCGTAATCCACCTTGAGGACAGAGGAAGGAAACGGTCAGAAGGGCCAGGCCAAGCCTCAGTGAATCTTCTCTCCTCACCCACCCCACATCTCAAAGGGAGATGTCCTTCCACGGAATCAGTCTGGCCATGCTGGGGTAGTCAGAGCTCTCCCATGCAGCTACAGCCATGCTGCATGGCTGCTTTGTACAGCTGGGGTCAGCTTCTTTTTTCTCAGATTCTTATTTTCTTAAAAAAAATCATTCCCTGCCATCATCTGACAGATGCCATGTCAACTAGCCCTAGCTTTTGAGTGCTTATGTGCCAAGAAACAGTAGTCCAGCCCATTTCAAATACCAGAGAAAATTCTTCCTGAGCAGTTACCCACAGACCACAGACTAAGAAAATCATCTCTGCAGATGCTATTAGGCCAACTGGAGAAAAGTCTAACTTGGACTGTACAGGATGACCACACAGAGTGTCTGAAGATGCATTTGATACAAACACTGCAGGCTCTTCCCTGCTGCAATCGACCTTCATCAGGAGATAAGCCTCAGTGGACAGGGACTTGGCAGAGAGAGGCCTTTGCTACGGGAAACACTACAGCTCTCATGACGTAGGCAGCAGGCTGCACGTTGCCAAGTTACTCTGCATCTAAACAAACAGAAAGCTCTCAAGGATGCTTATGTAAAACTGGGGCAAGGCTCCTGAAACGGGCACAAATGAGAGCAGAGCGTGGTCCAGTCCGAGTGCTCTTCAGCTGGGCACAGGAGTTCCAACCTCAGCAGCTTCCCAGCTGCAGGCCAGTCCAGACCCAGCTCGGGGGGGCTGAGCCCGCCTCGCCAAAGCCGAGCGCTGGCAGCTGCCCTGCCTGTGCAAGGAGGCGTCACTCAGCAGGGCCAGTGCCCTCCTCCTCCTCCTCCTCCTCCCCCTCTGCTCAGCCACAGCAACGCCCCCAGCGCAGCGACGCTTCCAGAGTCTCAGCCGCCTCTGGAAGAGGGGAGCTCGCAGCTCCCTTCCCCTCGCTCGGCTCAGGGGTCAACAGCCAGCTCTGCTCCCCGTGCCCCCGGCGCCCCCGGCCCTCCGGCGCCGAGATAAGGAGGAGAACGGTGCCGCCGAGGCCTGACCCCGAGCAGGGAAGCGCCTGTGGGAGGCGAGGGCAAATCCGGGGGGGACTGGAGGAGGCGGGCTCGTTTCCCCTCAGCCTTGCCCCTTCCTGCCATTCTCTTCTCTTTGTTGCTCTCCCTCTCCTTGGGGCCTGACCCTGCCAACGAGTCAGAGCCGAGATACTGCCCCGCACACAGCTCCGGCCTTTCCCCTGGCTTCCTCGGGCTGCACAGAGCTTGCCCGAGTCTCCTGGCCTGCCTGGGGTGCAGGACAGACACCTCCTTCTTCACGGGCACACACAAGCACTTGTGTGGAGCAAGCACTTTGCTGGAAGTATTGGGGTGAAACACACGTCGCTGCCCGTAAGGCCAGGCTGGGTGAGGCCCTGAGCAGCCTGGTCTAGAGGAGAGGTGTCCCTGCCCATGGCAGGGGGGGCGGGTCAGATGCACTCTCAAACTTGCCTGAACACATTCCTGTACAATCTACTCTAAGTGAACTTGCTTTGGCAGGGGGGTTGGACTAGATGATCTCTAGGGTCCCTTCCAACCTCAGCCACTCTGATTCTGTGACTTCAGAGGCAAGTGAGGCCAGCTTCAGTTCTGTACTGGCCTCTACCACTCTATAGCTCTATCTCTCACATCAGCCTCCTGTCCCTTGTGTGTTGCTGTGGGGATGCCACCAGGTTAAAGTAACAGCTGTCCAGCGATGTGTCAGTGGGACACGAGCTGAAAGGAACAGCTTGTGGTCAACAGCTGGCTGGATACGTGCCAGTGTGTGCCCAGGTGGCCAGGAAGGTCACCAGCATCCTGGCTTGTGTCAGCACTAGTGTGGCCAGCAGGACTAGGGCAGAGATCATACCCCTGGACCCAGCACTGGTGAGGCTGCACCTTGAATCCTGGGCTCAGTTTTGGACTCCTCCCTACAAGAAGGACACTGAGGGGATGAAGCATGTCTAAAGGGCAACAAGGCTGATGAAGGGTGCAGAGAACAAGTCTTAGGAGAAGCAGCTGAAAGGGACCTGGGGTTGTTTAGTCTGAGGAAAAGGAGGCTCAGGGGAGACCTTCTCACTTTTCACAAGTCCCTGACAGGAGGCTGGAGCCAGGTGGGGGTCGGGCTCTTCTCCCAGGGAACAAGCAACAGGACAAGAGGAAATGGCCCCAAGTTGAGCCATGGGAGGTTTAGGTTGGACAATAAGAAAAAATTCTTCCCCAAAGGGTTGTCAAGCCCTGGACCTGGCTGCCCAGGGCAGTGGTGGAGTCCCCATCCCTGGAAGGGTTTAAAGGACATGTAGATGTGGTGCTGAGGGGGACATGGTTTAGTGGTAGACTTGGCATCGTTAGGTTTATGGTTGGACTTGATGATCTTAAAAGTCTTTTCCAACCTAAATGATTCTAGGATTCTAGGATTCTAGGATTCTAGGATTCTAGTGTCACGTACAGTAACTACAGGAGCTGGATCATCCACACCAAAATGCAGCCCCTGCTTGGCAAGTCACTGCCACAAAGCTTAGGGCACGCAGGGGACAGCATCACAGAATGGGCTGGGTTGGAGGGGACCTTTAAAGGTCATGTAGTCCAAATCTCTTTCAACAGGCAGGAACATCTTCAACTGGGTCAGGCTGCTCAGAGTTGCTCAGGTTGCCCTGTCAAACTCACCTGGAATGGTTCCAGTGATGGGGCATCTAACACCTCTCTGGGCTACCTGGGACAGGGTTTCACCACCCTCACTGTAAAAAATTTCTTTCTTTTATCCAGTTTAAATCTCCCTCTTTTAAAACCATCACCCCTTGTCCTGTCACAACAGGCCCTGCTGAAGAGATTGTCCCTGTCTGTTATAGGCCACTTTAAGTCCTGAAAGGCCACAAAAAGATCTTCCTGGAGCCTTCTGTTCTCCAGGCTGAACAACCTGGACCCTGCAGAAGTCTTGCAGAGTGTCACTGTGCAAGCCCAGCACTGCTCCTCAGGCTGTTCTCACCACCCAGCACGGTGCCACCGACAGGCTCTCCATCACCAGAGACAATGGCAACCAAGCAGAGGCACAGAGCTGGGCTGAGCACTGCCAGCCTGCTCAGGCCTTCCAGGGAAGAAGCCACGGTGCCTGAGGATGGAGAAGCAGCCCAGCTATTGACTGAGCTGGCACAGCCACTGCCTGGCATGCGAGGAGAGAGCTGGGGCTCCAGCTGGCACGGAGGCCCGTGACTCACCAGAATGAAGAAGGATGCCTCCAGCCAGGGTGGAGCTCTCTGGAAGCTGATCCAACTATTGTCCACACTCTGGCCTGTTCTTGACTGGGTGGCTTCCCTGGCCACGGCACCAAGGCATGGACACTCTGCCAGCGCTGGCTACAGTGCCCAGAACAGATTTCTTATGTTCTATTTCTGGCTGTCCTCCTCCCCAGCCTTGGGGCATTGTTAACCTAAGTTATATTGGAACATTTTCTCAAGTGGGACAGATCTCTGGCTAAAAGCCTACATGGAGGATCAAAGCTACCCTTGCAAACTTTCTAACTACACCGTGGTTGATGGCAGCTTTGCTGTGGCAACATTCCCCTTTCTCAGGTGAGCTTTGGGAAGGAGGTGCCATGCAAACACATCCGTGCACTTGTGTCAGCCTGAGGACTGCTGATCATCTGCTCCATCTCAGAATCACAGAATGGTTTGGCTTGGAAGGGACCTCAACAATCATATAGTTCCAACCCCCCTGCCATGGGCAAGGACACCTCCCACCAAACCCAGCTGCTCCAAGCCCCATCCAACCTGATGTTGAACCTAGTGCTGAAGCAGCCACAAGTTCCCTGGGCAACCTGTGCCAGTGTCTCACCACCCTCACAGTGAAGAACCTCTTCCTTACACCTAATCTAAGTCTCCTTGCTTCCAGTTTGAAGCCATCACCCCTCACACTGTCACTACAAGCCCTTGTAAGAGTCCTTCCCCAGCTTTCCTGTAGGCACCCCTGAGATACTGGGAGGCTGCAACAAGGTCTCCCTGGACCCTCCTCTTCTCCAGGCTGAACAACCCCAACTCTCAGCCTGGCCTCACAGAAGAGGTGTCCCAGCCCTCTGATCATCTTTGTGGCCTCCTCTGGACCCACTCCAACAGCTCCATGTTCTTTTCATGCTGAGGACTCCAGAGCTGGACACAACACTCCAGGTGGGGTCTCAGGGTAGCAGAGCAGAGGGACAGAATCCCCTCCCTCAACCTGCTGGCCACACTGCTTCTGATGCAGCCCAGGATGTTTGGGGCTTTCTGGGCTGCACTCACACACTGTTGGCTCCTGTTGAGCTCTACATCAACCAGCACCCCCCAGCCGTTCTCCTCAGAGGTTGGGTGGCAGAGATCCCGGGGTTCGGGTGTCGGTAACGACACCGACCCAGATGCAGGACCTTGCACTTGGCCTTGTTGAACTTCATGAGGTTCACACGGGCCGACCTCTCAAGCCTGCCAAGGTCCCTCTGGATGGCATCCCTTCCCTCCAGCACGCTGACTGCACCACACAGCTTGGTGCCACCAGCAAACTTGCCAAGGGTGCCCTTCATCCCACTGCCCACATCACCAGCCGTCCCCCTGTGGGCCACCCACAGCAGGGAGCACACACAGCTCCAGGTACACCGAGAGCGCAGCCTCACCAGCAGGTATTGGAACCACTCTGCCCCCATCCTCCAGTCCAGGCCCAGGTCCTTGGTGAGAAAGCTGGCGACGTTCTGCCGCCCTCGGTTGGAGAGGAAGCCGGTGGCAGCCAGCTCCCGCAGGCTGGCGTCCACAAAGGGAACCCCCGTCCTGCCCTCTGCGGAGACAAGAGGTGGCACTGGGACACTTTTGGGTGTTCATCAAACAACCTGGGGTCAGGCACTCACAGCCACCCGAGGAGGTGGGACAACGCGGCAGGGAGAGATTCCAGGGAGGTTGTCACATGTCCACCTGGGCAGGGAAACCTCCCCGCAGTGTGTCTCACCAGCCAGGCAGAGCCTGGCCACCCATCAACCCTGTGGCCTGCTCCCGCGTGGTGCTCAGTCATAGAGTCACCAAGGCTGGAAAAGACCTCTAAGGTCATCCAGTCCAACTGTCAACCCAACACTACCATGACCACTACACCATGTCCCCAGGTGCCACATCCACATGTTTTCTGAACCCCTCCAGGGATGGTGACTCCACCACCTCCCTGAGCAGCCTGGGCCAATGCCTCACAACTCCTTCACTAAAAAAATTTTTCCTAATAGCCCATCAAAACCTCCCCTGGAGCAACTTAAGCCCAAGAAATCTTGGAAGGGAAGCCATGCATCCCACACTCACACCAGAGAGGGCTGGACTCTTGTTGGGTGGTGACAGTTTAAATGACAGGGTCTAATCACGGTGACAGCTCCTCAGGTAAATTGGAATTAGCATGAGGGCACGTGTGAGCGTGCAGACACGTGGAGACCAAAAGCACACTTAGCCAAAGCTGCAGTTTCTACTGACCTTTCCAACAGTCAAAGAGCTGAAGGTCCTTTTTCCAGGAGACCTCTTTGCTTTGAAGCCCTATTAAGGAAAAAAAAGAACTGCTAATGAAGACAAATGCTGATGCAGCCAATGGCAGCCAGGGGCACCTTGGCTGACACAAGACGTTGGGATGAAGGTGGCCCTCTCAGTGGTGTTACAGCTGCACTCCTCCTGCAAAGCTTTCAGGATGATTTGTTCCTCCTTTCAAGGGGTGTGTCATGCACAGAGAGGATGTTCAAGCCCTAACAGATTCTGATTATTTTGTGGGTGTTTACTTTTTTTTTTTTTAATTAATAATGACTCAGACCTTACAAGTGGCTGGAAATGTGCTCCAGCCTAAGCTAGTATTTCCCTAAAGCCTTATCAATAGTTACTTGGGAGAAAGGACCAACCCCCACCTCACTCCAACCTCCTTTCAGGGAGTTGTAGAAAGCAAGGTCTCCCCTCAGCCTCTTCTCCAGACTAACCAACCCCAGGTCCCTCAGGCATAAGCCATGTTCCCCAGGCTCTTCCCCAGCTTTGTTGCCCTTCTCTGGGCCTGCTCCAGAACCTCAATGTCTTTCTTATACTGAAATGCCCAAAACTGAGCCTCATACACAAGCTGTGGCCTCCCTAGTGCTGAGTCCAGGGGCACAATCACTTCCCTGCTCCTGTGCCTAGGTGTGGGCAGGTGCATCACGTGGAGAACAGCTCCCCCAGCACAGGCATCAGCCGTATGCTCTCCTGACTGCATGGACAAGACATTTGGTGTAGACACCTGCACGTAAGTGACTGAGTCTGGAGCTGAATCTCACTCTGATTCCTGGGTAGTGCAAGGCAGAAAGAATAGCTGGTTTCTTGGGATTCATGCTGCTGGTTCAGTCCCTGCTCTGTACCAGACCCTCTGATGAACCTGAGCGAGCCTGAAGCCTGGATTCTCTCCAGAGGTGGAGTGTCTCCAGAAACAGGTTCTTTATGCTTATTGTGCTGCTGTTTCCCACTGGCACATGTTAATAATAGACCCCCTATCTCATCAGATTTGGGGCAAAAGTCTCAGTGTCCACACAGTGTCCAGCACTGTGGTGTGAGGTAGTTCTGTGCTAACAGCAAGTCCTCAGCAACATCCCAGGGTGGTGACATAAGTCCTATGAGAATGTTTGTCCAAGACAACGCCAACAGCGTCTGCTCTTACTTTCCTGTGCTAAGTCTGTACCTCTCCTCTCCCAATATGCTGACCCATACACACCTCCTGATGAGAAAATCCTTCTGCCATACTTCAGGGCCACAAATCGAAAGTAGTCCCGCCACAGCAGCTCAAAGAGGACCCTGGAATACAAAGATGTGTCTGTATTTCACTGTGGGACAGATAAAATTACCAAAATTAGGGTTTTGCTTCTGTAGCACCCATCATTAACACCGTGAGGTTTATTCACAATGAGCAATTTCACAAACCTGCCCATGAGAGCAGTTCTTGCCCCAAGCCTTATCTAGCGCGCGGCCAGATGGCTCCAGTGGAAGCAAACTTTGCATCAATCACTTGGGAAGATTTCCTCAACTCGAGTGCAGGAGCAGAATTTCAGGTGACCTGTTTCTCATCTGTCCCTACCAGAATGTAATTCTCCAAGGATCAGGGTGAAGACCTGATTCAGCTTCACATTTCCCCATGAGCAAGCCTGTCAGCACATTCCTGAGAGCTTTGTGTCGATTTAAGTAATAATCTTTGTAAGGGACTTAAGGCACCTTTCAGAACTGGGTTTACAGTGCTCTAGCTCCTGAGGTCAAGTGCTGGGAAAACAGACAGTTCTATACAAAGTTCTGTAGTCCCACAGAAAATGGACAGTTCCATACAAAAATTTTTATCTAAAAGGAGCTTCCTGTAAAATGATGGCACCTGATTCTCTGAGATCTGCTTCAGCTCCCTGGCTTACTGGAGATACCCTGCTCAGCTGATGTTCAGGCTTGCAAGATCTTTCTGGAAAACTCCATCACAAAACAGGACACTGTCCAAATGCTAAAAACCAGCGTGGTGATGCTGAGGTTCAGTCAGGCCCTCGTGTGGAGCCACCATGGCCTGTACTTCACTGCACAACTGACTGCAGTGCCTGGGAGCTTGACAGCTTCTCCTTTATAATTATTAATCACTTTAAAATGTTCAGATCACCACGGCACCCAATTGCAGGCAGAGTAACTGGCTACTAGATGGAAAAACGTGTGTAGATTCATTTCTTGAAGTCTTTTTTCTCATAATTGTCTTTGAAGAAAAAAAACAAACATACACTTCAACAAGCAAAAGGTCGTTATTTGATCTCTCATTTGCATTTTATTGGAATTGAGTATTTTGGCCAGAATTGTTGGCAATGTTCTGCCCGTGCTTCACCAACCACTGCGCTGCTTGTCATGTTGCAAACGTAACAAACCAACATGAACACCTAGTTCTGCAGTTTGCACAGACTTGCTGGTTTGTTTTTTTTTCCCATCCAGGTCTAGCACTGGGCCAGGCTCCAACATGAACCTGCTTCTCCATAAGAGCTCTTGACCAGGCCCTAATTCAGTATCTGGGCAGATCAGAGGGTGTAAGCAAGTTCAAGGCCAGTTTTACAGTTTTAAAAATCACGAACCACAATTTCCCAGCAACAATAATGACAATTAGCATTAATAATGTTTATAAAGTGCATAAAACCTCTGGATGTCACAGGCAGACTAATAAATCCCCAGTGAAAGAGAGCTGTGACACAACCCAGAGGAGCCAGACAGCAGGCACAGGAAAAACAAACATTAATTAAGGAGAAAGTTAACGAATCACTCTCTCCTGTGCTTGACATGCCCGTTTCCTTTGCAGCTGAAAGAAGCAGCAGTGACCGTGCAGGGACATACCAGTAGGTGCTCTGATTTGCTGTTCTCTCTTTCTCATACTTCTGGATCTGCTGGTAGATGTATCGAGGTGAAATGCAGCCCAGTGCCAGCCTGGGGAGAGAAGTGACACCCTGAGCGTGCCACGGGCCCGACGCCTGCACCCAGGGACTGGAGGGGAAGGGCTGTGTCTAGAGCTGCTCTCTGAAAACCCTGCTCAGTTGCAGCTCTGCTGCTGGCTTCCCAAAGCCAAGCTGTATGACTTCTTTTCAGCTCTGCAGTCTGAGAATTAAAATGCCCCCCTCCCCAGGGTATGGCTGGTACAGGAGTCTCCAGCTGAGAGAAATCATTTCACACAAGCCTAAAGGGCTTTGATCATCTGGTGACTCAATACACCCATGACAAACCCAGAAATGGATCTCAAATGTCTACATCACCTGCCCGAGCTGTTCACAGCCCTCCTTTTCCTGCAAGCCCAGGGCTCCTGTACCCACAGGGCCTTCATGTCATTCCAGTAACCCCAGAAGACAACTTGCTAAAAATCTCAGACAGGGTGGGAAAATTAGGGAATCAAACCCAGCTCTGGCATTTCAGACCACCAAGCTCCTTCCATTTGTTCCAAAACAGTGCTGTGCAAGACAGGAAACAGCTTGTCCACACCAACCCCACCACAGAGGGTGATAAGGAACTACTTTTACCTTGATTTTCATAGAACTGTGTTTGACTGCAACTTCCCCCTAGGGCTCGTGGAAACATTTGATGTTCTAATGAATTTTGAAAAACAGGAAGGACCTGAAGAGTTTTTCCTTCATTGCTGACGAGCTCTAACACTTAGAAATGGCCAGTATGAGATGTGAGGGAGTGGCTGTGATTTGAACCGGCCTGATCTCGGTTATCTAACAGAGGAATGCTTTGGGGCCTGCAGATCAGGACTGTCTGCTCTGGGCAAACGGCCAGCTTGGAAAAACTCGAGCAGAAGCCACGGAGAACTTGTGCAGTGCCGGTGGTGCTGGGACCCCGCGGTGCCAGCAGGTGGAGCCAGCCACCACGGCCGCTGGAGCGCAAAGCCAGCCGAAAACGAGAACTCCTGCCCTGGAACAGCCTCCGAAGGCTGTTGGCGATACACTCCAGATGCTCTCAGCGTTAGGCTGAGCTGCGTTCTGATGCTGTAGTTTCAGTGCAGAATTAACTCTGCCCTTTCCAGCACCAAAGACTAAAACCTCTAACTAGAATTAATCTTTTTTACCCAACCAAGAAATGCTTTGGCAACAGGGGTAATCAGAAGTGTCTCTTCACCCCACAGGAAAACAGAATGGCAGTGAGGTGACTTGCCCCACGGTATTCAGTAAACTATAAAATCATAGAATCACTAAGGTTGGAAAAGACCTCTAAGATCTTGCCGCCCACCCATCACCCAACACTCCCATGACCACTGAACCATGTCCCCAAGTGCCACATCCACATGTTTTTTGAACCCCTCCAGGAATGGTGACTCCACCACCTCCCTGGGCAGCCTGGGCCAACGCCTCACCACTCTGGCAGGGAAGAAATTCTTCCTAATGTCCATTCTAATCCTCCCCATGTGTAACAACCCCATTTCCTCTCATCCTATAGCTTGTTACTTGGGAGAAGAGACCAACACCCACCTCTCTACATGTCTCCCCTGGCTCTCTCCAGCACCCCAGACACACAGCAAAGACACAGTGTGTCCATCCCCACGCCCAGGGAGCACTCAGCAGACAGGTAACCTCAGTTTGGGATGAGAGCAGAGTAGGAGCTTCCAGTCTCACAACACAAATCTTTACCACGGTGCAAATTTGGTTGAATAATCCACTCCCACCAATCCGTTCCGAGTCTCCTTGTAAGATGCAACCAGGTTCTGTGTGAGCAGAAGAACAGAAGGGTTGAACACTTCACCTGCCAGCTGCAAAGTGTTTTGTTGCATACAGGAGCCAGGGCTATCTCGCAGGGCTGGGCTCCCTCTCATGGCTGCCTGCAAGGATTACAGAGCTGCCGAATTACTGCCTCCAGTGCACAGGAATGAGTCAGGCCAGCAGTTTTCATTGCAGCTCAGCCTGCAGCACGTTTCTCTCTCCACCCTGACTCCAGCTGTGCTGCTCTGCACCCATTCCCGCCTGGCTCCAGAGCAGCGACCTGCTCCCAAATGCCAGTGGGACTGGTGGCCAGTTCCCCTGCCCCTGTGGCTGCTTGTCTGGGTTTGAGAACCACGGTGTCTGACAGTGACCAACACCCAGCCAGGGGAGTCCTGATCGCTGTTATTGCTGGGCCACCCAAATTTACAGCAGGGTGCACGTCAGCCACCTCCCGGGCACTCCACTGATGGTGCAGGGGACACAGGGAAGCCTGACCTCTCCTCCCTCCCCTCCGGGTTACAGCTGCTGAAGGGCTCTTCTAGCTCACCAGGGAAGACAATATTTGCATAACAAGAAAGAAGGAACTCGTTTTCCAGCACTGATTGCATTAGTGGCTGACCAAGAGTAGAAGCCCTGTGTGTTGTGCTGGCTCTGGCTGGGCAGAGTTCCTGCTCTCGGCACCTCCCGCGGGGCTGGGGCTGGGGCTGGGGCTGGGGCTGTGCTGGAGGCTTCGCCGGTAGCACGGGGATGTTGGGTCACCACCCAGCAGAGCTCACACAGAGCCAAGGCCTCTCCTGCTCCTCCCCCCACCCCACCAGAGAGCAGGCTGGGGGTGCACGAGAGGCTGGGAGGGGGCAGAGCTGGGACTGTTGACCCCAGCTCACAAAGGGTCAGGATGCACAGAAAAGACGCAGTCAGCAGCAGTTTCACTCCACCAAAGTGAGGGAGCAACTTGTAGCTGTAACTAATAGCTGCAAGTTTTAAACCAGACTGCTGGGAACCTCCTGCTATTTTTAACTGCAGACAGCAGCTTGGGTCAGTTGTTCCTCATCCCAATTGCAACTGCAGCCCAGCAGACCACTTTTCACTCCTCCAAAATGGAGGAACTACATTGCTGATGACACGGGACAGGAGAGTAGAATGGTCAAGTCAAAATTGTCCCAGTTCCCAAAAGCTGTAATGGAAAAGAAAGACCTAAGAGAGGTGGTCACTAAAGTAGATTCTTGGCCTACGTTTGCGGTTCCTGGATGACTTCTTTTTGATTTATTTTGTCTCCCAGAAAAACTGAAATAATGCTAATTCCCTCCTTTGTAAAGTATTATTAAGGTTAGATGAGGCTCTGAGTGGCTTGTTGGAGATGTCCCTGCTTATG